CACTCTCTTGTCCGAAACCCTGCCTCGGAGGTAGGCGACTCCTTGGGAGCAGCGGGCATCCGGCTTTGTCGGAGCTCGCAAGAATCCAAAGCAACCTTCAATCCGAACCCTTGCCTCGGGAATTGCCGAGAGAAGCGGGCGTCCAGCTTATGCGGACCTCACAAGTCACAAGATCCCGCAGCGGAAGCTCAGATCCATTGTATTGTCCGAACCGTTGCCTTGCAGTCAGAAAACTCCCCCTGGGAGTACGTAACTGGCACCCGGCCACTGCGCGGAAAGCCCTGATGCTGCATGGTGTGCATGGTGCCTGACACTGCATTGTGTGCATGGTGCCTGGCACTGCATCACAGGTTTACTGCTTGCGTGCGCTCTGTATGACAAATGTATGTCAGGGAAACGACCTGTGGGCCTCGAGGACTCTGAAAGCGAGGAAGGAAAGAGGAAAGAAAGCATGGACGAATGTCTGGACTGCCACCTGTTTACTCCAACCTACTTGCCTAAACTGTGTACCAGTACTACATAAGCCTTGTCGCTGTTACCAGTGTCCTATTGTGGTTGTAACTGTGTCTCAGTGCTTCGTGAGTGTGCAGGAGGGTTGAAATATATGCAGCCGTGCTCACGGCCGACAGTGCCACGCAAGTCTGAATAGCTCGCACAGGAGGAATTGCAGATCCAGGTCTTCAAGAGATAGATAGCTGCCTTGCAACGTCTCGCAGCGCCTCGCGGGCCTGCGGGAAGTTTGCCAGCCAACTATCCTCACCTGACCGCCGTGTCTTCCCTGATCCCCGACACAGATCCGGAAACAACAGGCGAAAGCATGAGAGCACCTTCTTGTGAGCCACGACCAAGTTTTCGTGCCATGTCAGGATCTGAGCGGCTTTGCGGTCCCCAGAGGGCCAACCTGCCACCGTCCTTCGTTCACGCAACCTGAAGGCCTCTGTGGGCAGCTCGCTCGGATGTCGCACGGGCCAAGTGAGCTGGGCGCACATCCGCAGCAGTGTCTTCGTCTGCTTGGGCACATTGCGCTCCACAGCTGCGAGCGACAGCCTGGCCGTGGCCAGGCTGCTCATGCGTCCCAGAATCATAGCCGCCAGGCAGCGAACGTTTTTCGACGCCCCTGCCAGCCACGCCATGACCCCACGAGCATGCATCACTCATGCATCTGTCTGCGTCGAAAAAACCCAGCCTCTGGTCCGGGAGCTGCTGCAAGCTCACTGTGGCACTCGCGACACAAGCAGTGCCGAGCCTACGCCACGCGATGCCTCGAGCTTAATCAAATTTTGAGTCTGCGGGGCTGGTTAGGTGTTTCGAGATTAACGAAAGCTTTAGATCATTTGAAGAGAAGCCACATGTGATTGCTCCTGCGCCCAAGCTTGTCAAAAGACCCACAGTCAAACTTCTGGGAGCCACTGCAACGCCGCCCTCCGCACAATCTTTTCTCGGTGAGCGGCTCTTGAGTCGAATCCACCCCAGAGCAGGACCAGGGACGTTCACATGATGACGCCTCGCCATTGCCTGTCGGCACAGAGGAAGAAGCATGCCCCGAGGAGGCAGCACTGCCCGCATCCGTTGTGTTCACATTCGTGCCGTGATTTTGTTGATGATAGTTTCCCCATGATGCCACAGGTGTGTTGCTGCCATGCCTTGTTGTGTCTGGCACCGACTAGCCAGCACATCATGCTATTAGCAACAATAAAACCGAAACGATGCGAAAACCCATTGTCTTGCTGCTACTACTCAGCGCACTAGCAGTAGCACACCGCAATTAGCCCTGTTGTTGATGCTGTTTCTGTGAATGGTACAACAACGACTACTACAGTGCTGAATTGCTTTACATGACGTACTACTAGGATGCACTATGCTGAGTATGATTCTGCGAACTAAGGCGGTTTACGAACTTCTCGCTAGTCATCAGGCCGAAGCTCCACCCAAAGGTATTGTTGCTCTGCCCTCCGTGCTGCATCACTCGAGCTGCACGCTCTGAAGGAAAACTTTTGCGAATGACCACATACTGGTTCCAAGACTCGGGAGCTTGCTTGAGAAAGCACTTCTGGATTTAGCGCTTCGGGATTAGAATGACGGGTGTAGTGTCCTGACAGCCCATCTGTCTGAACACCAACAGAAGTACACATAGTATAATAGTATGGAATTATTGTTAGTAGTAGCAGCCGCAGCAGAAGCAGGAGTAGTAGCAGTAGTCGTGGTCGTGGTACTAAGATAGTGGTAGCGGCAGTGGTGGTGGTGGCGGCGGTGGGTGTAGCGGCAGTGGTCGTGGTAGGGGTGGTGGTTGTTGTGGTTGTGAATGTGGCTGTCGTGGTGGTGAGTGTGGATGTGGGGAGGGTTGTGCTAGCCGCCACGGCCGCATGGAAAAGCCGGTGAGTCATGTTGTATGCCACCATAGTATGGCAGGCATTGTGTAGTTTTGCTTCTCTTATTTTTGCAGGGCTTATATCGAATGTTGCACGTGTAGGTTGGATATATGTATGTTGTTCTATGATAAACAAAAGAGATAGTCATATCATACATAAAGGGTCCTGCCTAATGTATGGGGAACCTGTCTGTATGATGTGACTCGGCTCTGGTGCTCTAAGGAGTTAAGGGAGTTTGGGGAGTTTGGGCGACCGCAACCCCCCAAACTCCCTAAACTCTCTATAGGCTCTCTACCAGAGCCGAGTCACATTATACAGACAGGTTCCCCATACAAAAATATATATATATATATATATATGTACATGTATATATACATATATTTGTACATACATATATACATTACATGTAGTATTTGTCGGGATGTGCGAACTACGGGCTCTTTGACAAATAAGCTCAAATCCCCTTTCACTGCCAATAGATCCTCTGTATGTGACTCTGGATACTCTGGCAGGCAACACCGAAAACAGGTGGATGACTGGGGAGGGGGAGAGGGAGAGAGGAGCATGTGTGTGTGTGTGTGTGCATGTGTATGTACATATATACATATATATGTATAAATAACATATGCATAGCATACACCTAGATGAGAACAGCTGGGCAAGTTCACGGCCTATTTCAATATGTAACGGCTTAGCAGAAGTTGCTTACATGCACTGCTTGTGTTCGAATCGAACATTGCAGCGCGTGAATAATGAGCTGGACAATTTGTTGCAAGCATGTCTCTCTCGTGAGTCCTGCCAGACCGGAAGCGACATGCAGATTCACTGTGTGAGGTACCGCCAACGCAGCCACGGAACAGGCACACAACCCGCGAAACAACCATGGGATTTTTGTCATGAATATGCTGGACTGTGTCTTTTTGAACTTGTGTTCGGTTGTAATTATGACTCGTTGCTTTGCTTTTGATGTTTTTATTTACTGTAGTCTTGTCATGCTGCAGTTTTGCACAGTGACCTTCGTTTGTGGTTCCTTGAAACTGGTAATCATTCTCACTTTCCTTCTATAAGCATGCACATGTGTTTCTGCATGTCATGTATGTATGTTTTTATGTACGTATATACATATATTATGTATATATATATATATATATATATATATATGTACGTATATACGTAGAAAACTACATATATGTGTCTATACATATATACATCTATAACTGTATATTATTATTAGAAACATATACATAATATATATATATATATATATATGTGTATATGGTCACGCGCTCCGCAGCCCCCCCCCCCCCTCCCCCCCCAAAGGTCAATGGTCCGAATATAGGGTGGGGCCTCCCCTCCCCTGTGGTGTGGGGTGTGGGGTTCCTCTTCCCCCTGTGGGGTGGTTGTGGGGTTTTGGGGTTTAGGGTTTAGCTTAAGCTTTTGAGTTTTGGGTTTACGGTTACATTACAAGGTATAAGGCTTCGAGTCGACACGGGCTTAGGGAGGATTTGCGGTGTATGCTCTGCTTTAGGCTTAGAGCCTGCAGTTAGGTGGGGTTTAGGGTTGGGTGTAGCGTTTTAAGTACAAGTTAAGGTTGCTCAAAACAGGGGCACGCGCTGCGTCACAGGGTTTACGGCTTGCTTGCGAAGGGCTTGCGCGTGAGCCCTGGCCGCCAGCACCACCCCACCATCCAGTGGCAGCCAACGGCCCCCAACCCCTTTCCGCACACGCCAGGCCCCCCCCCCACCCCTGTCAGACCATACCATTGGGGGGGGGGTGGGGGCTGGGAACGCCAGACGCCTGACCATATATATATATATATATATATATATGTATATATATATATGTATATATATATATATGTATATATATATATATGTATATATATATATATATATATATATATTGAAGGGTTCCTATTATGCTTAACACTAGCCCCCGTTCCGGTGCACGCCTGATGGCTGGGAGCTGGTGCGGGAATCAAGCAAACATGTTCGGGGGGCCTCGTTATGCTTAACACTGTCCCCCTCCTAGCGCTGAAGTCCTGAACCCTGGGTTCATGTGCCTCCGCTCCGCCCGCCCCGCTCCGCCCCGCCCAGCCGCCCCCCCAACCCCGCCCCGCCCCGCCCTGCCCAGCCCCGCCCCGCCCCGTCCCGCCCCGCTGATGGCTACCCACGGCCACCCAGGGCGGAGAGGGGGGAGAGGGAGGGAGGGAGGGAGGGAGGGAGAGAGGGAGGGAGGGAGGGAGGGAGGGAGCAGCAATGAGAACGGGAAGCTGGTTGCTTACACTCGATTTCTGGGCTTGAAGCGCTGGGGGTTTGCTTCGGGAGTAGTGTTTTCAGGTGGAGTTTCCTGGGACCAAATCGTTGACGGCGGGTTTTCCCAAAAAAACCCAGAATTTGACACCAGGGGCTGCCCCAGATTTGGACCCAGATCCTAAAACTTATGTTAAGCATAATAGGCCCCCTTCAATGTATATATACATACTATGTCATGTACCTATATGCCAGTAAATTTTCAGTAAATGCATATAACACACGGAAGCACAACGACACATGTACCTGCGAGCGTGTGCGTACGCACACCCTAGCACGCAGTCGGGCTCAGAAAACGCGATGCACCAGGCCAAGGTGCAGTACTTCTGAGCCCATGCCCGGGCAGATCCTTGGTGTGTGTGAGTGTTGCAGATTGGCAAAAGCTAACAAGTCCCGAAGCACTGCTTTTTCGATTGTCGCCGTCAAGTGACCCAGTGAATTGCATAAAGACCTCGATGCAATTTCTGGATGTTGTCCGGCTTCGACCTTGTTGGAAGTGACCTCAGCTGAGAGGCAGGCAAGCCGGCCAGAATCGCATGTATCTTGAGGTATCTGTAGGTGAAGCAGTCAAATTGCTGGCTTCTGAATCTATATTAATGTGGTTGATGTTGGGCCGTGGCTCTTTGGAGATGTTCGGACAGTGGTTCAGGAATGGGCGGAGGTGGACTGAAACGACTCTACTTAATGCAATTGTGGCAGAACGCAGCAGTCTCCTCCATGTTCGTTTCGGTTAATCAAGTCAGGAGCGGTGGCACAGCGTGCTAGCATCGTTCAGAAAGACTCACTATGCATATTCTGTTTCAGGCAAGTCACGAGTTTCCGAAGACAGTAGCAATCCTGGGCACATTAGCCTTCTGCATACTGTTGCACTGTGCTATCGGTGAGTTAACCGACTGGAAATGACAGCAAGTGCAGCCAGAACTCAACTTCTTCCGCTTCTCCAACCAGCCTCATTTTGCGATGTTAATGCGAATAGAAAACTCATTCTGTGAAGGAGTCCGCAAGCTTCTACCAATTGGGACAAGTCTCTCTGGGCATCGTGGACGTCTTGGCCGGCTGGCGGATCCAGATGAGCCAGGTCGTCGCGCCACGAAGGATCCACCAAGTCCGTAAGGCAATCGACTGCCTGCAGAAATCGCAGAACACTTTCTTGCCTGATTGATTGCCCAACTTCACTGCACCACACGGTAAGCGCCCTGTCTGTGCAATCGCTTCTTCGTGCCCGTCCCATTTCGTTAGGAGGGCTAGCGACGGGCGAGAGCTGGCGACACCAGCGAATCTCGGTGCGTAGCTGGGCTGTGCTTCAATTCTGCGAATGACACTGGGCACTGCTCGTCCGCTCACAGGGCTTACTACAAAAATCACCTCCGATGTGCTCTAATCAACGTCTTTCAATCGACAGCCTAAGGTCGGGTCGTGGCTCAGGCAGCACGATCCGCCTGCTGGGAGGTGGGAAGGACTGGCACACTTCTTCAAAGGTTGTTTGCCCGTTTGCACCTCGGTTTGATGAGGGCCGCGGAACTTTTGTCGCCAACGGCGAGTTCCCACTTCGCTCTTGGCATTCACAGGGTTTGCTGAGGCATTCTGAAACACGCACTTTTGGTGTTCGTGCGGTTTGGCAAAGTGCGCTTTCTGTCGTGCCAAGCGTGCTGCCACAATGCGGTAGTATGAGCAGCCATGCCTTCACGCCACTGTTCAGCACTCTGATTCCTCGGGTGCGACTACCTCAGCCATGCCATGCAGGTTCTCGTGACGCACCATCTACTCCATATCTGAGTCATGCGCAGTAAATGCCTTGTTCATAGTTGGTGCCGATGACATCGTTGAAGACAATGTCGGTAATGGGGCTGTCTACTAATCCAGAGATGTCGACAACCTGCTTTGCTCCGTTGGAAGAGATCGTATCGAAGGTAAAGTTGATGAAGGCCGGAGGTTGCTCCGAAGCTTCACCCTTGCGTGCAAGGGTGCAAGGGTGCAAGGCCAAGGGCAAGCGGCTTCGCGGCTACCGATAGCGGCTCAGCTCCGCTCGGGGGCCGGGCCTCGAGTCCGTTCCTGGAGCTGTATTGCATCGAGATCCTTCAAAGATCGAAGTACAACGCTGAGACAAAAACTCCAGCACAGCTCCAGTGCTGCCGAGAAGCTTGATGAAGACTTTGGTTTGTCTTTTGAGCCCTGACCTCACGATGCCGTTGTCAAAGGAACGAGCGGATTCCAGACGAACTCGACCGTCGGACTCTTCATTTACTCCCCGCAGACAAGACAAGATGCCTGGCAACGCTGTGTATGTTGTGGAAGTACAGGTCTCTCACCACTCCCCCGCGCCACCTCCAAGCAAGACCATAGTAGGAGTGAGCGGGGGATGTGCTGGCATACAGGATGCTGTGCAAGCTTCGCCGAACGTGCCTCGAACTCTTGATGAATATCCCATGCCATCGATTCTCGGGCCGACTGTCTCCGAACTTGACATTTTCGACGCGCACGTCATAAACACCACCTGTGAGCAGTTGCTGAAGGTTCCGTGCTTGAAGGAGGTGCCAACGCAGGGAAGCTCGGGACACTGCCGCTCATTTCACTGCCCACTGAGAGGCACTTTGACCGAATGGCCAGGTCATGCAAATGGATGTGAGCACCTAAGTCTTGCAGATCCTTCGGGTAAACTGTACTGCAACAAAACATGGTGATCCACTCTTGATGCAATCATCAAGCGACCACCCTCACAACGGAAGAACCAGGAGGCCAACATAACCCCTGCTTCTCCAGACACCACATTCCTCTGGCTACTGATATTCCCACCCTTCAGACCCCCAGCCGTCCCAGCCTCACATTGGGATGTATGGAAGCAAGCTCTCTCACAAGAAGCTTTCGTGACATGCAATATTGCATCTTGCAACCACTTAAACGACTTAAACATACTTAAACCATGTTCAACCATCTCTCGCATGATGGAAGCTTAACAACTGAGGCAAGTGCTGGGCATGGCAAAGTTTATGCCCGCCTGATTGAGCCCACTCTTTATTGCAATAGCGTCATCCCCTGTTGAGATCTCCTGGTTGCAGCAGTCGCTCGACAAATGGCCACCACACGGCCACGAAAGATGACAGGAGGCACAAACTCAGGTCCCCGCGCTATTGCGCACAATGGCATGAACAACCGAATCCTGAGAGGGTTGGCAACTGCTTTTGCTGTTTCTTTCTAAAGTTATCGACAGCTTGCCGCGACAGCTCGGCTCTTTCACGCAACCATGGATGGCTGTCGACTCATCTTCATGTCCGATATGCACCTCTCGAGATGCCGCCACGTGTGCCACTCTGGAGGCGGGAGTCCAGATTGATTCCATCCGTGTTCGGCGAATCATACGGGGCAGTGATGTTGACGCGCTCCACCTGCATGACACAAGCAGCGCACTGCCGACTTCGAGAGTTCAGCCATGTCAACGTGCAAAAATGCTGCCGAGCCACCAGAATCCTCTTTGAGGCATAGAAGTGCGTGTTCCAGAAGGCAGGATTTTGCAGGCGGATGCGTCGAAGAGTGATGTTTGAACAGAACATGCATTGAATTAGCGATGGCCGTCCGTGTTGCAGCAGCACATGCGTCTTGCTGAAGCGTGACCACCACCAGCTGCCGTTACCATCAATGACACCTACAGGGTTCAAGACTCCCCGCAGGAGACAACCTACTGCTTCTCCCTTCCGGCGACCGGCGAACCGCAGTTTCAATTGAGTGGCCAGGCCCTTCGATGGTCACATCTGAGAGGTTGTAACCAAACAGGAGAGCTGAATGCCTCCGGCGCAGCTCGAGCAACAACAACGGTGCGACCCTTCGCGCTTGATGAACGGCCTTTTGGAAGGGTCCAGCGACCAGTCACGGTTGAGGCCGTAGCTGGGGAGAGCCGGAAGCAACGGGTACGAGTCTGGCGATGAGACCTCCGAAGAGCTGAGCAGCAGAGACTCCACCGCTCGGCTGCCCGTAGAGTTCTGAGCTGAGCCAAGCGACTCCCAGGAGCTTGCTACCTTTCAGCAGGCGCAACGTCATCTTGCTGGTGAGGTTCACGGAGCCAAGGACAAAAATCCCCTTTGGTATCCTCAGCACGACAAGGGCACAGCAAGCAAACCTTCCAGCTATTCCCGGCCGGAGCCTTGCAACTGGGGCTCTGCAGTATGAATCGCTCCGTCCCCCATGACCGATTCGCACCTCGTGTAGTCGTGCAGTGGTGGACGAGGCGTAACATTGAAGCAGGTGCAACCACTGCACGCCGTATCGCAAAAGCTGGCACGCTCTCTGTGTGACGAGAGCTCCGGTTAGATTTGGCTTCCCGATGAATTGCAAGCCACAACAAAAGCATTCAGGCAACCATGGCATGCCGTATTTAAGCCGCAGAACTGCAGAGTTCCATAGCTGCGCGGAATGCTTCTGTGTTGTCGGTCTTGCCATCTCCGACGGCTCCAAACCAACATGGGTTGCAGATCTGGATTTGATTGTTGTCGCTCTTCTTGATGCTGTTGAAGTTGGCAAGGACCTGCCCAGCACCCTGCACAGAATTCAACAGCTCCAGCGTCTGTATCTACGTCACAAGTAGGGCGATGTCGCCTCTGCATCGACCTTATTGGCCTGAGGTTGGAGCTCTTCGCGAGGCTCCTGGCGAAGCTCCTCGAAGTCCTAAGTGCCGAATCAGCGCAAGTGGCTCGAGCGAAACTAAGCTGGGACCGTTGCATCGCTTTGGTTCGCAGAGCTTGGCAACGGGTCTTGTCCCACCATCCACCTTCTCCCAAGAGAGCCTGGTCCCGAGACAGGCAACAATGGAACTTGTTGCTGCATAAGGCTCGTGATGTGCAGGAACCACTTTCCGCCGCAAAGCAACTTGTGTCTTGGAGACTGAAATAGCCGGTTGAAGTGGCCAGGAGGCCAGCCAGCACCATGATGCAGAACGTGGGCCTCAGAAACCGCAAACCCAAGAACGCAATACCAGTACCTGTCAGCTATGTCCTAAGTCCAATGCCACAGTCTTGCAAGCACCTTTGGCTTCCTGCCATGCGAAGAAATGCACGCTCGTCCGATCGCATCGCATCTGAGGTCCAAACGGACCAAAGGATGTTGGGCCGGCCATGGCGCGGCCAAAGCTCTCGGAGACAGAGAAAATGCACGGCATCACGTCACAGGTCTTGAGTGCTTGAGTGCTTGAGAAGGTCTGGTGCGACCGCTTTGAAGAGGTCTTGAGCTGGTCTCGAACGGCTGCAATTTTTTTTCTCGAAATTTCTTGCGAAGGATTTTACATGAACATGGTGACCAGAAACATTCGCTGCTGCAGGTGGTAGACAAGACAGAATACGAAAACAGTGGCTTAAACTTTCACTCCCACAAAAACACAGAGTTACGTTCAGGGAAACCATGGGTTCACCTGGACAGACAACATCGCAAGCAGATGTAACAGCTGACATGGAAATGGAGAGGGCTGCGCACCCGCATTGAGAACAAGTCGTGCAGATGAAGTTTGTGGGTGTCGCAAAGCTGCAGTAGCTTGTCCTCAGGAATTGGAAGCGACTGTGAAAGTCTCACAGAATGGATGCTTGGCCCTTCCAGTCCTCAAGATGGAAAAGCAGAATAACTCCTCGGCACCAGGGCGAGGCGGAGCGACATAGCAACAATCAGGCACGGCATGTGCAAAACACGGGGCAGCTTCAAAATGTAAACCAACACAAGGAGCACAAGCACATGAGGCACACTCCATGCTGGACATATGCAGCTGGGCTGCGATTCAAGAGCAAGTCTTGGCTTGTCTCCACCTGGAGGGATGCAACAGTCGCTTGCACCTGTTAAAGGTACGTCGGTCCATGCTGCATACTGGGATGCAGCCTTCTTTAGAAGATCTCTTGCACGCTGAGCTTTTCCCACCTCAGAATCAGCAGATGGTAACTGGCTCTGATAGGCGGAACCCGGTGCTCGCATTGAGCAGGTGGCATTTGACCCGATTGGGTCAGTCTCAGTGGCGGGCTCTATTGTTTGGACAACCAGGAGAGAGAACTGAGCATCTCCTCACCTTGGCTTCGCAGGATAACCCAGCAGATGTGACAATCACATCTGTTTAATCCGGCGTTTGCCGCAGCGAAGGAACAAGGATTGCTCCACTTGCTCTCGCAGCACGAACAGGTGTTGACTCTGCATACTAGCATGCGTGAGTGATCGGAATACAACCCTGCAATACCCTGCATCCTGTGGCTTGCGCGACACCGACATTTAAGACGGCGACCTTTCAAAAAGCCCGTTTGAGTTTTGAGGAGTCTCTGAGGCCGAGGCTCTCTCATCCCACTCGATTCGATCCCGAGGGAGTCCGAAAGAGCAGCATTGGAAATCCTGTGCTATGGCGCTGCAGCGACCAACGGTGGGTGCTTGCGAGCGGGAAGGGGACCGCACCGGACGGGCCTGGAACACTTCATCCCAGTTGCCGAAACTCTCCTTGGCCTGGAGCAGATATGGAGTGTGCTTGGACTCCTGAAAGGTGTCTATTCGTAGGGCCAGGGCCTTCGACAGCATGATCCGCAGGGCTGGATTGTAGAAGGCCGGAGACTTCACGGTGCATCCCTGAACGGCAGCCGGCATGTCACCGGCATGTTGACGGCTTTCACCCTGCGCTCTTCAATAACTTCCCCCACGCCTCGGGCAGATTTTTTCTGCGAACCTAAGTAGTCACTCGCCACAAGTCAACGGCAAACTGAAGCCACATCTTTCCGAATACGCAAAGAGATATGTAACGCAATAAACTCTAGACTGCATCATCTGCATATGCGCAAGTTGCAACCAAGCGAACATACGGTGCAGGCACCGAGACTGCGAGGCTTCGAAGCTCACAATGGAACAAGTGAGACATCCCTTCAAAGGCAAGTCGTTTGAGGAGATTGGTCCGACCGTTAAAACAGCAGAGAAGTGCGGTCAAAGCACATGTACAGCACATTTTGCTGACAATGCGATCGACTGCTCAAAGCGATGAATCAAGTGCCGAGTTCTGAGTCCAACTTGAAGCCCACAACTCCCCACTCCACAACCACCAGAACGGAAAAAAACGAAACAACAAATAGTTCAAGCCGCGAACAGATTCCAACTGCATCAGGACTTCGTGATTTGCACCTGCACAGGAAGCCCGGGACTCGCCACAGCGTTCCCACTCGAGCTCCGTTGTTGCAGCAGACAACTCCCCCCCTTCAAGCCATGAAGAAATGACTCGACAAAAAGGCGACCGGTTGACCTAGTGGATTCCATCGGACCCGTCGCCAAGACTTCAAGAGCCGTTCTTCCACGCTGGGAAGAAGATGAGAGATGAGGGGTCATCCGCTTGACGGATAGGCGTTGCCACAGCTTGCGCTTCACATCAGCCTCTATGACACGCTGCGCTGTAAAGTTCACGTGCACCAAGTGTGGCAACAACTGGAGCAAAGCATACCTTCTGGGAGCGACACGCAGTGGTATTGCTGTGTGTTGCCATGGTGATCCGTTGCACGGTGTTTGTTTCGGCCGCTCTCTCAGGCTGGCCTTGAAAAAAACTGCTACCGCTGCTGGTACTACTACTACTACTACTACTACTACTACTACTACTACTACTACTACTACTACTACTACTACCAGTACCAGTACCAGTACGACTGCGACTGCGACGCCGACTGCTACTGTTAATCGCAAACCAAAAGCCCCGAAATGAGCGGCCAAGTCTGGACTCGCAAAAGGAGTGGACAAAAATCTCGCAATGGAAAAAGAGACCCCTTTAAAAGGAACCCTTATGAAGGAGCCCCATTCAATTATTAAGGCCCCTACAGATTGGATAAAAATCGCAAATTGCGCTTGGAAACGGTAGCTGCTGACCGGAATCTGCCACTTGACCACTTGCTTCACTGGAGCCGGAAGCGAAAAACCCACCGCGGTTTGTACTATGATAGTACTAGTGGCAAACACAATAATAGTTATCCTAAACCCTAAACCCTAAAAACCGAAAATCGCTGAAACCCAAATAAGCACCCAACCCTTGACTTCTAAAGCCTTAACGTCCAAACTCTAGCACGAGTGGCGCCTAGCCCTGAACAGTCCTCGGGTTGTCGGCTTTTGAATTGTGGCAAGCGTCGCGAGCCGCTTGAACACGGCAAGCGTTGTACACTTTTCAAGAGTCAAGTGACTCAAGCTGCGTGTTTGAATTAGCGGTTCCCGATTCCCAGTTGAAAAGAAACAGTAACAAGCTTTGGGCTTGAACTTAGATCGCAAATTGACAGCACCAGTCATTCTGAGCTTCACATGGCTGTCGTGATTCGTTGACCAGTTTCTCCGGAGTAATCCACGTTTTTGGGATCCTCTGAAAACTGCAACTCTGCCGGGGTGTAGGAACGAGGGAAATTCAAACATAACGGAACTGTCAGCACCCTTGGAATGCCCGAGAAGACCTTCCTTCACTTCGGACTCGCTTGCACCTACCGCGACACAAACAACAAAAACAATAAGACGAAGATCGACCAGTGTACTGCCCTTCCAGCAAAGCGATTCGGCTACATGAAACGTGTGCACACGCACATACCCGACACGACGGGATGCTGCCAGGAGGCAGAGGAGATCTGCCAATTCGACTTCTCTGGCACAACTTTGCCAGAGAAGCGGCCGGCGCAAATACTGAAACTGGCAGCAGAAACAAATGGAGCTTGATTGTCTGATCACTCGCGCGCCGAAGGCAAAAACCCAAGAAATGGCTCTCTACATTTCATGTATAATCCACGGGACTGCCTGTCCCCACGAAGATACACGCTCAGCCTGAGCTGGCAAGCGGAAATGACCGTCTTATCCCTTCTAAACGGTCTTGTCTTCCAAGAGCGGCGAAGTGCGAATGTCTTGAGGACACCACATCTCAGCCGATATATCTGCGGCGAAGACCTCCTCTAGGGGCACACGGGCCTTCAGACTTTGCATCCGATGTCCGTCTTCTTTCATGCTGAATATTCATACATCTCGTTCACGTTGTCTGAGCTGATCACAGTGGCACTCTCAAGGGCTTCTTCATCCAGGTGGATGACCTGGAAAGCAATTGGCAATGCTGTCGCGCCCATCAGCACATCAGCCCTGGCAGGTCTGCAGAAGTTCTGCGAGGCTATTCCGAGCCCCAAGCCACTTGCACCAAGGATTCTGACTCGCTCACAGTAATGCCTGTGCAAATTTGCCTCGTTTTTGCCATGAGGTTCTGAAACAGGCTGCTCACATGGCCCTTGGAACTTGCACCAAGCTTGCACATCTTTACACCAAGATGCTCTGGAGTCATTGCCGTGCTGATTTCATGGTTCCAGTCCTGTGCGCAATTGCTTCATATGTGGCGAATGAGGAATCTGGGTGGTTGAATCCGATCACCGTCCTCCGGCTCTCCTGGCTCGATGTTCTTGAAAGCTTCGACATCGATCTTGAGACCCTGCAGAAGGAACTCCCAAGGCCCGGAGAGCTTTCGTGAAACGAAACGCACGCGATGCCGCCTTAAGGACCCCCTTCGGCGCCTTCAAGTGCAGACATGTGGCTTCTCTTTTAGGCACAAGAAAAGATTTCTGCCTGACGTTCGGTCCATCCGAAAATGCTTTTCTTGTGCGGATTCAAGGCACCTGAAGAAGAACACAAAGTCAAGTGGATGTACCTGGATATTGGAGTGGAAAGCCGCATCTCTGCCTGGATACCAAGGGCTCGCCCAGGAGCGATGGCGTGCCTTCGCGAGGTAGATGATCAGTGCCCTGGCCAGATAACTGGAGGACATTCAAGTCATTGCATGGGCCGGCTATACTAACGCTTTTCCGATGATTCTGTTAGTAATCGAAATCCGGTTTCCTCTGTCAGTGTGACAGATTCTGCAATGCTCTTCCCAACACAAAGGCAAGGCTGAGAAAGCTCGCGATCGTTCAAGAGGTCAGAACTAAGTCCCTGACTTATCCTGTGGATTCGACTGCGAAGTGTCCACCTTTTGGCATAGCCAGTGGGCAGTTGCAAAGCACAGAGTCGAATTCCATGCTTTAGCATCTTTCCCTTTTGACGAACGTATTTGCCAGCGGGCCTTCCACCAGGAAAGGTCTCGAAGAATGTCGTCGTAGACTTCCTGTAGCTGTTATTGTATTGCTTTGACCGACCGAGGATACGCTGAAAAACTTCCCAGCAAGTCCTTGCAGAGGTCTGTAAGTTTGCCTCGGAGGGCCGACACCGAGCGAATTAATATGTTTGACAATGAATGACATGGTTTTGCAAACTCGAAGGTGGCCTTTGCCGTCTTTGCGTGACACGAGCAGCTGCCAGCAGGACATCTCTACCTGAGTTTTGCTCGCTCAAGCGCCAGCCATGCAATAGAAGCTGTCCATGCCTTGATGTCATCTTCGTCGAGGTCCATGTTGCTGTCTCTGAGTGGATACGTCAGAATCATCCTCACAGTTTTGGAGCAGTCGCGGAGCCAGAGCCACAGAAGCGTTGAAACTAAGACTTGGCTGCTTGGCTCCTGCCCATGGACTGAGTGTAGTGTACCTTACACCGTGGGCAGCACATGTGGAGTGCAGCGGAGCGCCAACGTTTGCCTACACTTCCCGCTTCTTCTGAGGCTCCTTTTTGCCGCTGAGCGCAGAACGAGCGCGCAGCCTGAGCGCAGCGCAGCAAGGCACAGTGGCTCAGTGCTTGCGTTGGCTCAAGGGCCTCTCTCGGAACACAGGTCGACAGCAGTCCCTCTCATTGACTGCACGAGCGCCAGAAGTTGTCCGTTCTTATCGTCGCTGTCCGTGGCACTCCCGGTCCCGAGCTGCTGGCCCAGCTTCACAACCTTTTCCAGAGCTTCCACACGGGTTTCAAGCTCACTGGGCTGGCGCAGCGCCGCCAGTTCACGTTCGAGCTGAACAATAAAGGCCTGGCGTCGCATGCAGAGCTGCTGGAGTTCTGCAAGTGACCGCATAGACAGTGCCGGAATGCCACTCTGGACCGTGCTCCCGCCCAAAGATGTCATGGTGTCCATCCGCTGCGCCATTTCAAGCGCTTCTCTTGCTTGGAAGCTCTGCTTTCGTGTCCGTGACAGTTCTTACCCGGGCACTCCTCTGACATTCACCGACATCCGAGACTCGAGTTAGACTTGTGGGGTAGATCCTCTCGTCAGGTAGCTGTATTAGCTTTGGGCGATCCTTCGCAAAGAATGCATGCCTACGAAGCGATCAACGCATACACTCATTGATTCCAAAGTGTATTGCTGGAAGTCGGGCACTCGTTCACCAGGCTCGATCCCGAGGCTGCGGGGAGAAGGGGGCAGGGTTTGGGCCGGTTTGGGCCACAGCCGCAAACTACACCGCAGCACGCTCCTCTTCCTGAAATTTCCTGAATGCTGCCACGGTGCTCCATCTACTTGGCCAGACTCCCGCCTTTGATGCAGGGACTGTCACAGGCACTGGCTGACCTTGCAAAAAGCTCGGCTTGCAGCTGAGCGGGAAGCTGCCACCTTGCACTGGAAAGCAATGCACGGTATTCAGAACTGGTCTTGGCGTTGTAGTTGGCTTAAGCGGCCTGTACACGATCGGGAAGGATCCTGGGCTGACCCAACTGGACTTCAGCTCAAAATGGAATGCATGTAACTCGCCTGGCACCGTATGAATTCAGCCTCGGCACGAAGACGAAAGACCGCGCCATCCGATGCCTCCTGTGCAAGGAAGACAAGCTAGGTATCATACTATTGCCGGCATGCCAGGACTTGTCAGATACACACACCCGCTTTGGAGAGAATGTGGCCTGCGTGGCGACCTTAACAAATGAGGCGAGCGAAAGCCACGCAGGTTGTAGGAATGGTCGGAGCTTTGCACAGAACTGGGGCCCCAGCCTGCAACGCTGCAGGATCAGACATTGAAGCTGGCGGTGCGATAAAGTAACGACTTGAATGAGAAAAAAATGTTGACGAGGCTCGTTATGCATGTGACACGGCATCGGAGGCTTCATTCACGAACTTCAACTTAAAAACAATCCCAGGCTTCCAGGCCAAGCTTGCATGACAGAAAGACACTAAATGGACGCTCCCCCCGATATTGTCTACAGGCCTAGCACAGCTACTACGGTCTCCTGCATAGGCTGCGAGAATCGCCGGGATGTGTTTGCCAGCTGATTGGCAAGCACTCGCACGCAGTATGAGGCTGATCGCGAAGTCACCATGCATTGTGACATTGCACTTTGGAATGTGTCTGATGCAAGAAATCGCGCAAAGCACATCTCAGACGTGCCCGAATTCTGAAGGCAAACATATTCTGCGCCTTCCTATACTAGGGTCTATGTTCTATGTATTGTCTATTTGCACTGCGCTTGAAGCTTTGCAGCAGGATAAGTTGTAACCCACAGCGTGCTGCTGCGTCTGGTCCCGACTGAAGTCTGAGGCTATAGTGTCTTGTGCTGCAGCTTCCAGCGCCAAAAGATGCCAGCACACCTCACGACGTGCCAAGCATTGTGCCGTCAACTTTGGACGAATCTGATTTTGTCACGATGAACGACTGCTTCAAGACTTGCTGGTTTTTTCAGAGTCTTGAACGAAGGAAAAACTGGTACGGTTAAGCTAGACGCTTTGTTCAGCTTCTCGCGCCAGTTCCAGCAGTTGGCTGGCAGCCAGACGCAGGCATCCCTGCCCACACCTGCAAGGCTTCTCGGCTTGGTTTCATGTTGCGTGCGTGCGAAACGGATCTCGCAGTATCTGGCACCACACCCGAGTCAATTCACAACTCGCCGCCTGCCTCTCTGGCTGGCACCGTCTCTCCTTTCAGCACCTTTACTGCGGCAAAGCATCCGACGAGGGCAGATGCAGCCCTGCACTCTGACTCTGCTGTCGCTTCCTGTTGTTCTGAGAGTGGCACCTGTGTATGCTCCATGAGCACGGCCTCCCAGGGCTTTCCACCGGTTCACGATGTCACTTCTGTGCAAAAGTCATGCTCGGCCCTACATTGCAAAATGGGAGCAGCAGCATCGTGTAGCACTTCGCACATGTGCCCACACGTGTGCCATGATGCTCCGTGCCGCACCTCGTCCTCTACGACGGAACCCGGCATTGCAAACGAACCTGCCATGCAGTGAAGATGCAGCCAAGCAGAGCCAGGGGATGCCAAGGTGGAAGCTACTGGCGTTCCTCGAGACGATCAAGTCATGTCCGCCACGGTGAAGGCTAGGATGCACACGTATGCAGGCGCATAATGCGGATGCACGTCCGAAGCAAGCAACGAGGACGAGTTTGACTTATTTGATCTTTTAGCGTGTCTTGAGTCTTGTGCGCTGGAAAAGAGATCTCGCGCAACAAGCTGCCTGGCAGAAGAGCTGCTCCGTCTCCGATCCTGGTCAAATGATTTGCTCTAGCACATCTTCGTTTCGATCCACTAGGCCGGGCCTTGTCGGTGCGAGTTTGATAACCATGTTCTCTACAGTATGGCCAGTTGTGTCGCACCTGGGCAGAACATTGGGCTGGTGCAGCAGAACAAACAAATAAACTGCTACTGCATTCACACACCGGACTTGAACGAGATGAATCGGGTTTCCATGCATCGAGTCATGGCGTCGCTAAACGCTTCGATGGCCATGCATGAAAGGAACACGTTCCCCTCGGCTCGACCTTGTTCTCGGGATTTTGTGCCGCTAGATACCTTTTCGCTTCGAAAGCACTTCCAAGCTTGTCGGATGGATGCCGACTCTGAGCGCCACTCTGACTATAGGCTTTGTACTCAAAGATCGAGGCTGGACTGTCTTTCCAACTATGATGTCGGACATGTCCATGCCAAGGCCAAAGCCCAGATCCGATCGAGACGTGGTCACCTTGAGTTGAGAGCTGGCTGAGGTCTTTGCACCGGCGAGATGCCTCTTCGGGACTATCAACCATGCCTATAGTCAGCAAGTCGTATTCGACCATGAGCCCCGCCAAATAGCATTCCTGCAGGCACTGGACTATTGAGTGCATAGAGCACACACGCAGTGGAAAACCGATGTTTCGAAGCTTCAATGAAGCAAGCCGTTGGGGAAGCGAGAGCCGCCCGTATCGCTTCAATTACAAACTTGACCAACACAGAAACAGCGCTGCCGTCTCGCGACCGTAATTTCGTAAGTCAATCTTTGCATATCATTGCATCTTGCGCGTCCTTGCCAACCTTGGCACCACAGGCTCGTGCCAGCCACACCTGCCCAAAAGGCTGATCACAAGTGGGACGTTCTTGGATGAAATGATTTGCAAACGGTCCGCCCATTGCCTCAAATATGGTCCCCTGAAGGCAATCCTGAAGCGCGGAAATTCCTGTCAGACGCAAGATGTGTTGCTCAGTGCCTCCGGAAGCAGCAGGCAAACACCTGCCTGATCCACAGATCATCATGATCATCCACCGCATCTTGGAGCTCCATGGTTGCATATCAAGTTCAATTTCGTGCACCGTCGGATCTTCTGGTGTGTGCAGCTCAACATGCGCCGATGCAGCCTAGAAGCATGGTAGCTGCCAAAGAACGTGTACTCGCCAGCCTTAGAATCAGAATTATTCGAACGCTCTGCTGCTTCTGCTTGGTTTGGCCTCCCAAGTTGCGTGGCAGCTGAACAAGCTGGGTCGCATCAGCCACTTGCACAGCCAGGCCACAATGTACTTGCCAATGATGATCCATTTCAATGCAATGTTGGCGAGCAACCTTCGCCACACAGACCATGTGAACTTGCATAAGACCTGCTGCCCGATATGTAGTAAGACTACCGGACCAAACCATGCTGCACATCTCGACCGTACCATTACAACAGAACTAATGTCAAATCAGGGAGCAGAATGAACTCGATGAAGTTATACACCTGAGCAGAAAGCCAGACTAAGGGTGAGGCTGCTGCGATAAACTACATCTGAGGCTGCCTTTCGGACGTTTCGTGCCGTGCAAGACTAGCTTTTCGCACTGCCCATGCCATATGTGAGGCGGCCGTTCGTGCGGTACAAAAACTACACCTGAGGCTGCCTTTCGTCCTGTGCAAGACTAAGACGACATGTGAGGCTGCCCTTTTTGCTACATAGTATCTACAGTATACGTGTGAGGCTGGCTTTCGTGCTGCGTGAGTGTTCAAACTACATGTGAGAAGGCTGTTTGGGTAGCACACTTGTGCTGCTCAAAACTTGTACAGGACTACTTGTGAGGCTCCGCTGGTGCTGCAGCAACACAGCGGCATAGCATCAAACTCACCCCGTCAACACTGGTCGGCTGCATCTTGTGTAAGGGCATGGCGAATGGCGTGACGATAAGCAGGGTCAGAACTGAGCCCTTGGATGGACCAGCAATCACTATGCATCTACATAAATTGGGACATTTCCACATGTCACATGCATGCGCCTCTGGATAAGACGTGGCTTCCCTGGAAGTGCGGATGTTGCTCGAATGTGTGTAAAACTGCTCGCCAACATGTGCCAAGTCTTCGAAACTGAATCCCGTTGCAAGCCAGCAGCACTGTCAACATCCCAGATTGAGGTCACTCCAAAGTACGTCGCGACCCACGCTGCTTCCGGCAGGGGATTGGCTATCCTGGGCACAATAGGTCCGCTAGCAACTGAAACTCGACCACCAACTTGCTTGATCTGAATGTCTCGGCCAAGCGTCAAGATGACAAGAAGTATGACCAGATTGAATCTGTTCAAGTTCGCACAAACCCACAGACGCAACTCAGATCAGCGTGCCATGATTCGCCTAAGATATCACAACCAGGGTCAGCGTCGCGCCTCCACCATGTGACAGGACTGTCCAGGTCTTGCATTGTTTTGTCTTCTAGGGCCTTGTCACCGGCTGAATGGAAGCAAGATATTACCCTCTTCAACCGAACTCTGCGAATACACGTGAAACACCCTAGTGCTGCACAAACCAAACCTCTCACTCGGCATGGCAGTATGTTGTCTGTTGTTCTGCCATGTGTCCCTCATTGCTGGAGACGAAAACGAGTCCCGCAGGTGCATCGATCGACCTTGGGAAGCAGAAGTGCACAGCCAACACGGTCTGGGAGACCGGTGAACCTGCCTCGTTGACTGCCGGAGTGGATTGCAAGCGGAGGATAATAGCCTGAGCTCACTGCAGCTCTGCTCCATGCACCATGCTACAAGAGCGGTGCTACAACGCACGGCTATGGGGCTGTGCAGACAGAAGGCTACCGGCCGAAGCGAGTGTGCAGGTGCCGAGTACTGCCTGAGCTGAGACACGCAGACACGCCGGAAGACACAGATCGGTTGAAAACAACTGTCCGCATTAGCAAGTTCCAGAGCTTGACGTGGGAGTCAAAGTCGAACAAGTTTTCCCCGCAACTTCAAAAAGTAGTCACAGAAGGCCGGCAAGATGCACGCTCTGCCACTGTTACTCCCGGTAACAGCGAGCAATGGTCCAGCACATTGGCGGCTTGGCAGATGTGGATGTCCGCATATCGTCGCAGTAGTCCTCAGAGATTATCGCACGACCGCGTGCCAGAGGCATGCAGGTGGGGGCGTAAAAGGTTCATGTGTCCTCGGCTCTTCTGCAATTTCTTGTTGTACTCCTCGGGCACCCAGGGCGCCTGTGTGTCCGTGTACATCATGACTTCACTGCCAAACACGACGTAGTCGTCGATTGTGACACAGTCATTCTCCACGAAACTGAGCCTGGCGAAGGAACGGCAAATGAGAAGAACTGCACAGCTGTCACACCAGGCCGCACTTAAGCGCTCCGGGATTGGAACCATCTGAATACTGGAAAGCTGAGGGGCTGATCGATCTGAACGCGCTTCCCTACTTTGGTGCCCAACGCGCGATAGATGCAAGAGAGCATCTCAGTATTCGTGAACATTTCGCAGGCTTCCTGCCGACGCCAGGAGCACTGCAAGCAGAGCACTTCTTGCATGTCATC